TATCCTGGTGGTTCTGTTCTTCTGGAGAACATAGAACTGGTCCAGCCCATGGCTGATTTCAAACTACTAACATGACATTGTCAAGCAAGGAGTTGTTAAGAGATCTCCACTTCAAAGATACAGATGTCATAAACCCAAGAGCACAAACAAAAATATCGTGAGTAGGGAATAGATTCTGTGTATTTGCCCTTCTAATACTTAATTGTAGATAAATTTATTTAATTTTAATGAGAGCTGTGCTTAACAACTGATTCACAAAATTCTTCAACAATCTCTTGTGGATGAGTATTGACCAGTCTGGTTTCTAGTATGCTACTGAAATGGCTATCTATTATTCTCAAGCTCACATGTTTATTTCCTGAGTCCTGGGGAGATTGATGCAATACTAATTTCTGTTTCCTAAAGAAGGAAGAAGGGCCTCTGCCCTGGATTGGATTTTGTATCTGCCCAGAGTTACATTTAACAAAACATCCATGTAAATGTGGCTGGACCCATAAGATTATCAGAAATCTCACTGGAGAGGAGATAGGATCCTAACATGGTGACCATGACAATGTTGCAAATCCATAGACACACAGACACATGCTTCCTCCTGTCTTCTATCCCTCAAGACAGGACACAGACTATGTTTCTGATTCACCCTTTTCCAATAGTGAGATTACAAAATAATAAACCACCAGTTGTCAATGTGTGGTCTGGGAATTGGCAGCACCTGGCTCACGTGGAAGTGCTAAAGTGTGGAAAGCAGCAGTTTAGGATTCCAAACACCCAGCAGGTTATTACGAGGCATGCTAAAGATTGAGACCCACTGCGTATGATTATTTATCTCTTCTTTTTAAAAAATCATGTTTTATCCATTAGAATCACAACAAAACAATTGCAGGTCATCCTGATAACATTTGGTATTTCCCTTCAGTCTCCAGAACTGACAGATAATTTCTTAGGATGCATTACTCCTCCCAAGGAATAATCTCATCAACCATACTTTGATTTATATTGCCTCAATTTTTTTTTTCACAAGAGGGCTGTTCTGAAGTTCTGTGACTACTATGGCCCATACACACCACCCAATCATAAAGCCTGACAATACCTAAGCTTCCAGGGCCTGTTCTGTGCTTTCTAGGCTCACTGATCTTTCATCATGGGTAGGCACTGTGCTTTGGGACTTGGTTTTGGGCTATAGCACTTAGAGGAGTGGAGATCATGTCAGTCACTGGAGGATTCAATCAAATGGTCATGAGTACCTTGAAATATTAGTTCCCTAACCCCCTTGCTATCTTGTATAGGGATTACTTAAAATTTATCATTTTTAATTTTAAAAGTAGATAGAGGGAAGCTATTAAAAATTTCAGTAATAAAACAGGATACGACTGATAACTGAATTTTTCCCGAATTGTGGAATTTGTATCAAATTCTGGCATAAAGGAGGTGCTTATCCTTTTCAGTGGATCTACTGCCTATGTAACAATGTCATTTGGTATATTTCCTTCTAATAGCTTTTTTGTCTCTATGTTTTTATTATACATTGGGGATTATTTGTTATATTTACTTACATTTTAACATTTATTTATTTGTTTGTGAGGGGGCAAGTGTATGCCATGGGTTTGTGTGTGTGTGTGTGTGTGTGTGTTGAGGTCAAAGCATGACTCTTAAGGGTTGATTCTCTTCTATCACCCTGTAGACTTCAGGGGTTGAAGTCAGTTTGGAAGGCCTGGGTACAAGCGCATCTGCCTGCTGGGCCTTCTTGCTGGTCTTACGGGCTATACCTACACATTCACTATTCTACTTTTAGAAGAAAGCCTAGTATGAGCATCGCTATCATTGAATATTTTTTGAAATGTAGTTCCATCTTATTCATTTGTGCATATGTTCTCTAATTAACCACTCCCCAATTTAGAAACTTTTATTTTTAGCTAATGTAACACTTTTAGAATCCCATTTCTGGTGGAATGTTGTACATATTTTCCAACTAGCAGGATTGCTATATTCCTTGTACTGTTTCTAAGTGCTCCTGGGCCTCTTTCTTCCCTCTTGATTATTGTAGTTTAAATTGCTCATTGCTTTGCTCCTTCAAGTATTCACTCGTTCATTCTTTGATCTGACACCCTCATCACGATTTAATATACATTTGCATAAACATAAAAATCAAAGTTGGAAATTGAAAAGGAGCTAATACCTCTTGCTATGAGTACTTTTAATACTAGTATACCAATAGAGTCCCATCCAACCAGCGAAGCTTTGTGTTCTCTGTGAACTCTCACACTGTTAGTATCAGCTATGCTAACACTTCCGGCTTAAGGGTTATAATCTCTAGTTCCTAAATTAGAAGGATGTTGATAAATGGCTTAACAAATGGCAACAAATATTTGTACAAGAATGTTTAATCCAAGGACATTTATTTTGTGAATTACCTTGAGTTTTTAAACCTCTAAAAATCAACAAGGTGTAAGGACTCAGACATTATGCTGGCCTGCCCCTGTCACCTGGCAGAATGCACTCAGGTAGTACTCTGCTCAGCCCAGGGATCCATGACTAGTATTCTAAACGCAGGTGCAAAGGACCCCTTTAAAAGATAGATCCCTGCCAACTTAAGCCCTCTTTCCTGCTGTTCCCTGTGGCAGACAGGACTTATTCCTGTCTCCCTCTTCTCTTCTGTCCTCTCTCTGTCTCTGTGTCTCTTTATCTCTTTTCTCTCTCTCTCCTCCCCTTTCCCTAATAAAACTTCTCACTAAGCTCTGTCTACCTGACATGTTTGTTCCCTGGCTCGGTCACTCTCTCCTGCCATGGAATCTGACAAGGTTCCCCATGTGTATTGTCATAACACAAGGCATCTTAGATTAGAATGTGAATTACCTTGCTGTGTTGGCTTGTTCCTGGCAGAAGTCAGGCATCTTTTACTTTTTAAAAAATTGTCACATTTGTTCATTTATTGTGCATTTGCACAAATGTGCACCTGTGTGTATATACACAAATGTGTGCTGTGAATTGAATGTGGTCAGAGGACAACTTTGGGAGTCAGCTCTTTCCTTCTACGATGTAGGTTCCAGGGACTGAAATCAGGGTCATCAGGCTTGGCAGCAGGTGCCTTTAGCTGCTCAGTCATATTGCTGGACCTCTTTTAGATCACATAAAATGCATGCGCAAATGCACACGTGTACACACACACACACACACACACACACACACACACACACACACACTAAAACTTCTAAATTGAAAACGAGCTATCCTTTCAGTTTTTATTTTGATAAACTCTCTTATGAATAGTCAAGTTCGAATGGCATTTCTTTTCTTTTAGAATAGGAAAAGGTAACATAAAATATTGTTGAATTATGATAACTAAAAATAAAAATGCTTTCATGGCATGGAACCAAAAATAAATACATTATAAATGGTTCTAGGCTTAAAAAAAATTTCTACCAAGTATGGAGGTGCACTCTGAAGTTGGGGCAGGAGGATTCCTTTGATATCAAGAGCTTGAGACCAGCTCAGGCAATAGTGAGTCCCTGCATCACAATCAAAATAGAAACAAACCAGAATAAAATTTCAACATTTTCTTGGATTGGTTTTTAAGAAAGAATGATTATATTATCTCCAATATATCATTGATTGCTGAATACATAAATAAATAGCAGAATAAATTTACAGCCATTGAACAGACAATTAATGAATACTGCCATTTTGAAACTGCTATTATTCATGTTTTTCTTATTCTGTAGTATGTTCACCCTCTTGGAAAGAGGGTGAGAAAGTATGAAGCAAACTTCTAGTAAAGATCTTGCCTTACACAACTGAGAGGAGGCTTCCGGGGTAAACAAGTAGGTTCAAATGGGCACGGTAACCATTAACAAGGAGACAGACCGACATGGATGCCTGGCTTTTGTTCTTTTCTCCCTACCAAAATCACAAGTGCGTAACCGAAGGGTGCCGCTAGGGGGCAACAATACTCAGCCGCTTCACCGGCGTTGGCGGGCGTAGGGGGTGGGGCCTCTCCCTTCCGTCCTCTCGTTCACCCGGACTTCCGCCGGAAGCGGCTCCGGCAGTTGTTGTCTTCTGATGTTTGTACTCCGGCGGTGTGGGGTTCGTCCCGCCTGGCGGGGTGAGGTTACCGCCGAGGAGCTGGAACGGCAGAGTGGAGCTTAGACCCTGTCAGCGAGATGGACATCCTGAAGTCCGAGATTCTGCGGAAGCGGCAGCTGGTGGAGGACAGGAACCTGCTGGTGGTGAGGGTCCTTTGACGGTGGCGTTTGGGGCTTGAGGCTTGTGTGGCTGTGAGTGGAAGGGTGTTGGGGTGAGGGCGATGATACTGAGAGGATTTGGGACGGGCGTGGAGTTCGTCCCGGGGCAGGTTGCCTGCCAATAGCTGGCAAGAGTGGATTTGAATCTTCAAATCCTCTCCTACCCGATGCCTGCTGCAGGTAAAGTCCTGAAAACAATTTACCGGTCTTCAGACATTCCAAGTCATGTTGCTGAGAGTCAGGACGCTTCACTCCTAAGTACCCTGACACACGTCATAGAGTTCAGTGCGTATTTGTTCCTCTTGCTGTATGCGTGCGTGCAAAAATTCTACGTGCGAAGGGCTGCATGGATCTTTTAAGTTTCCTGTTCAGTGATTTTTGACAAACGCAAACACCGGTCTCAAGTTTCCTGGTCAGTGACTTTTGACAAACGCAAACACCTGTGTAACCCAGGCTCCACGAGGAGATAAAATAGCACCTTTCACTCTTCTAACCAGCCAGCTGCTGGTGCCTGATGTTCGATACAAGGCACTGCTGAGTGTCCTGAGCTGCAGGAAGTAGGGTACCTTGGGCTTCCCCTGGGTCTCCAAGGTGCTTCCCTATGGTCTTATCCAAGCAGTTCATCACAGCCTCCAGGTCCCCTTCCTCTTCGATTTCTGAGATTTCCTCCCAGCTGGAGGCTCTCAACTGGGCCACAAATTTGCCATAAATCCTCTGTAACATCTCAGGCTGCAACTGGTACAAGGATTTGGAACTGTTAGTGAATCTTGTATCTGCTGGTGGCAACTTCTGGGGAAAAAAAAGTCCACCATGGTGTCCAGGGTGAACCTTGCCAGGCCACCGATTAAGAATGTGACCCTATAGACCATTCTCCCACAGTCACTGCCTGATTAGCATTGCTTGGTTCAGCCATGTTGAAATCATCATCACTGATTTTTTATTTTGGTTGAGCACACTTTGTTTTCATCCTCGCCACCTTCCTCCCTCTTCCTTTCTTTCCATTCTTGCTGTATCATCTACTTGCTCTTGAATTGATCCCTCCCCCTCCCAAGTGCAGCGACTGCAGTCATGTACCTGTCTTCAGTTTGTCAACTTTTTAATGGTTATTGTTTTCTGTGTCTTGTTGGGAGATTAAAACATTGTAACCAGTTGGAAAACAGATGGGCAATTTCTTAAAAGTTAAATGAACATTTGACACGTGAGCCAATCATTCTGCTTGCTTGAGACATTTGAGTAAATTGTAAAGGTGCTGTCTTCTAAAAGTTCATAGTCTTTTATGAATACTGGTCAATTTAAGAACATTTTGAGTCAAATTTTCATTTGATGCAAAGGATGAGTTATAAGTAACGAAACCCAGAATTAGTAAGATTGATTTCAGGTGATGAGACCTTATACATTCTTTTGGAGTGCTCGCTCATATTGATGAGATTTTCTGAACTGGCTCCCTGTGTTCTAATTTCTATTCTGGTCAGGAGAAAATAATGAAAGGTTATCTTTGGGTGGGTCATAGTAAATCTGTCTGTAGAAATTATCGTGGGGGCTGGAGAGATGGCTCAGATGTTAAGAGCACTGACTACTGTTCCAGAGGTTCTGAGTTCAATTCCCAGCAACCACTTGGTGGCTTACAACCATCTGTAATGAGATCTGGTGCCCTCTTCTGGCTCGCAGGGATACATGCAGGCAGAACACTGTATACATAATAAATAAATATTTTTTAAAAAAGAAATTATCATGGAACTCAGATGTTAGGAAAGTGAATGAAGAACAAAAACATTTTGAAAATACTGTTAGTATATTCTCTTTGCTGTGAGAATGTATTGCAGTTCAAGTGAAATGGTTGAGTGAGTGTTTATCACACATCAGAACACAGGCCCTCTTTTTCGGAGGGGCCTCCATATGGGGACTCTGTTTGATTATCTCCAGGACTGAAAACAGTACCAAATTCTTGAAAACTGAAAAGTGTTTTCAAAGGTTTCTAAGAATGCTTGGTAATGATGGGGCATGCATTTCTGCCAAGGACACATCATTAACTTCCTGGTTTTTCTTTTCTTTGATAGGAAAATAAAAAATATTTCAAGCGAAGTGAACTTGCAAAAAAAGAAGAGGAAGCGTATTTTGAAAGATGTGGCTACAAGGTATAAGTTCAAGGTTTTATGCTGTCACATATTTATGAGTTTAAATTTATACAGCTGTTGTTAAATAACAAAATTGTTGATCTCTGTTCAATTTATCAATGTTATACATTAGCCTATAAATGAGAAGCCGTCTGGAGAGGTATGAGTTTTTGGTTTTGGTTTGGCTTTTTAAAAAAAACAGGTCTTGAATTCAGGAAAATAGATGCATGACTTTTGGCTTGGAATGGTTTGGCTTTCTGTGGACAGCATGAACTGCCTTGAGATCAAAGCTTGATTTACTTTAGTTTTTTAAAGTAAGCCCTGGGTCTGATACTGCCTTACCTTCATCTCCACCACCACTCTCTCCCCTACCTCTCCCAATAAAATAACGTGTTTTGAAAGAGCTCAAAACACTTAAATCATTCAGCCTTGATTGTTTTAGCAGCAGTATTGTCTCTGTTTCCTCCTGAGCACTTTAAGCAGTTGGTTTTATGTAAGTATTATTGATAATTCTTCTTAGACTCAGTACTCCTGCTTGAAATAGAGTACTTATCCTCTGAATGCTTTTGCTTGTTTTAAACATGGGGCAGCATTTGTGATGCTGTGTAGTCTATTGGTGAGAAGAAGAATTTTGAAATAAATGAGCTGTCAGAAAGACTTCATTTGTGTACTTCAGTTGTATGACTGAAGCAATCTCTCACACTGCCTAGTTGATAATGTCTGGGGTTTTTATTGGGAGGGTTAAAGCTTACAAGGTGGAGAAGTTGTTTCAGTTGTTTTAAAGCAGACTAGCTTAATATTCTTAGCTCTCAGGTAATGGGGCCTATCGAAATATGCTGAATCATACATTTGATAATACTCCTATCTGGAGTAGAGAAAGTAATGGAAATTAATTTGTGTAGCATAGCATTTCTAGAGGAAAACATGAAGAATGTAGATGCCATCCATATGCATTTGGCTTTATTTTTTTTTATCCATTGGAAAAAGGCAAGTATCAAAGGAATATTTTTAAAGATAGATGCTTACAAGTTTATATTTGTATTTGATAGTTTTCTGAAAGATACAACTTCATTTGCTTCTAGTTCAGGAAAGTGAAAGATGTTTTATATAAGTAACCATTGAGTAGATATGTAGAAAGAACAGTTGTCGTGCTTTGCTTGCTCAGCGTCATGCCCAGTCGTGGCCTGGAGGAAAAATCCTTTATCGTATACTCTCTGCTGACTTGATCTCTAAGTGTGAACTTTTGCTACCTTTAAAGAAGGTAGGAAAATAATCTAATAGAGTGTGGCTTTTGCTTTGTGTAGATCCTTTTGGTGATGTGAACTGGGTTTTTCATCCTTCTGGGTTTTTTGGTTTGTTTTTCTGTTTCTTTTTTCTTGTATAAAGGACAAGGGGTAAAGCAAAAACAATATCTGTGGTGATAGTGCTGTAGCCTTGAATCGACTGACAAAATGTCTTAGATCTGTGTCCCAGAGCTGTCAGCTGCCATTATACAGTTAAAAATGTGTCTGCTCTTGGATGGAAGAAATACTTGTGATTAAAAAGAAAAGTAACTATTGTGCTCTTTAACAACTCTCCCTCCTTAAGGGCAGTAGTGGCAGTATAGTATATGCTGCTTTTACTCCTTAGTAGGAGCTAGCCACCATTTTCAAGGCTGATGCTGGTTTGACCTATGTAAGTATTTAAAAAGTTAGTTTTTATCTCTGTTTTAATTTACCTTTAACCATAAGCTACAGAATCATGAATTGCATGACTTTTGTTGTACACATTTTCTTAATGGGACAGTAGTTTCTTACAGCAGATCTTTATGTTACTTTGAATTGTATTCCTACTTCTGAATTTTAAACTTACCTGTGGTTGAATAGAAACCACACTTGAGTATGTTTTCAGGCTACACAGTGAGACTTATAAAGTGTCAGACTCAGTTTTCTCGGTCTGTGACTGAGATTGCTGCCTGGATATGAAAAGGGAGATGAAGACGTTTCCCCTGTAGGTTCATATGAGCAAAAGTGTCTACATTCCTCGGGTGGCATTCCAGTCTTCATTCCTTTTCTTCAAGGTTGGCAGCTCAGTTTGTAGCCTGGTTGTTCACTACTAGGCATTTTTCAACATGCCTGGTAATGGTTTATTCAAAGTTGGAGTAATGTGGCTAAAGAAGCAAAGTAGGAAGAGATCTAGCTTGACCAGCCCTACAGACTCTGTTGGGAGGCAGTCCTTTAGCCTTCATTTTCAAGATGAGCTGCAGTTGGCTAACCCGTGAAGATAATTTCCTCACAGAGGAAAGGCAAATTGATTGTTTTCAAGAGAGAATTGGGCTACTTTAGCATCTGCGGAGAAATTGAGTTAAGATTTAAGTACTGTTGAGTTTCTGTTTCTGAAATAACTGTAGTTATGGCACTCCTTTATAGCAAGAATGCGCTCTCCCGTGTGCATGCTTTCCCATGTCCTGTTCCTGAAATGGATGTTTGATCGGCTCTTGGAAGCATGCACAGTTCTTCTGCAGCCTGTGCTCAGAGGAACAGGTAGTGAAGCCTTCAGTCTCAACACTCTTATGTCATGTGGACAGCTAAGGTGACAGATGGTGGATAGAAATATGTTGGTGAATTTAAATTTCATTTCTTTGGGCTATTAATATAGGTACAGCCAAAAGAGGATGACCAGAAACCACTAACGTCATCAAATCCAGTGCTGGAACTTGAACTAGCAGAGGAAAAACTACCCATGACTCTTTCTAGGCAAGAGGTAAGGTTATATTTGAGTATTTTACAGTCAGACAGAAAAATTGCACCATACTTTCATATGTTATTTCCAAAATAAAGATGATTTGACTTAAAAATCTTGTGTAGCCAGTTTTTTCATAACTTCTAAATCGTTGCTTCCTTTGATAGTATTCTTACTTCAAAACAAAACTGGAGCTGGAGAGGCTCAGGGGTAGCTGCTTTTCCAGAGGACCAGAATTGGATTTCTAGCACTCACATGGTGGTGGTTCCCAACACTCTGTGACTCCAGTTTCAGGGGATCCAGTGCCCTCGTCTGGCCTCTTTGGGCACCAGGCACACATGTGGTACACAGACCTACATGCAGGGAAAACACAGATATAATCTCCCTACACACACGTACTTTATCATTATTGTGTGAGTATATGATGTGTGTGTGGGCCTGTGTGTCAGGACACATGTGTAGATGTCAGATGACAACCTTGTGCAATTAGTTTTCGACTTTTGCCTTTCCATGGGTTCCAGGCATCAAACCAGGTCACTAGACTTGTGTAGCAAATGCCTTTACCCACCAAGCCAGCTCCACTAGCCAGTAGACTTTCTTTTTTTAATGAGTGTGTTTTAAATAAGTATGAATTCACACAACCTAAGTAATACTTGTTATTATCTCAGCCACTTAAATTATACTGTTTTGCTATTTATATTTCTCCTTATTTTCAGATTAACATAGATGTAAGTAGTGTCCCCCTTTTTTCTTTAGTGCTACATAGCTTTTAATGTCTGTTTAATTACTCATTATTATGATTCTCCCCCCTCTTCCCCCCCTTTTTTTTTTTTTTTTTTTTGAGACAGTTTTGTGTAGCCCAGGCTGGATTGAAATTGGATATGTATCACAGTCTGCCTCATGGTCCTCATCTTCCTGCCTTTTCTTCTCAGGGCCTGGGTTTTTCCACCATGCTTTTTTTTGTTTGTTTTGGTTTGGTTTGGTTTGGTTTTTGGTTTTTTGAGACAGGGTTTCTCTGTATTGTTTTGGAGGCTGTCCTGGAACTCCCTCTGTAGCACAAGCTGGCCCTGAACTCACAGAGATCCGCCTGCCTCTGCCTCCCGAGTGCTGGGATTAAAGGCATGAGCTACCAATGCCATGCTTTTAAATGGTTTCTTTGTCGTTTAGATTAGTACAGCATTCCCTTATGAGTAACACCTAATGTGACACCTGATGAGACATTATTGCTTGTGTAATTAGGATTATGTCCCTTGGAAAGGCTTTTACAAGTATGGTTTGTAAGGCAAACATTCTTGAAACTACCATGTGAAAGTTAGTAAGAACTTTGGACATTTATCCAGATAAAGTTCTTGGTTATTTTTAGTTTACATACATACATACTTTTTATTTTTTAACTATTATTTTTTACGTGTGTGTTTTGCCTGCATGTATGTAGGTGTGCTTGTGTGTGTGCCTGGTGCCTGTGGAGCTCAGAAGAAGGCATTGGATCCTCTGGAACTGGAGTTACATATGGTTGTGATGACTCAATGCTGGATACTGAACCAGGGTCCTCTGCAAGAGCAGCAAGTACTCTTAACCACTAAGCCATCCCTGCAGCCTTGACTTTGTATGTTTTAAAGTTCTGTTTAGAATACATATTATCAAATGGCTTTGCAGACATTAACACATTTTGCTAGTTTATAGTCTGATCTGTAGTGTTTATCCATAGTCTGATCTTTTTCAGCTATTATCTTACTTAACAATTTAACATATTCATATGACGTGAAGAATTCAAACTATATGTTTAAAAATGCACAAAATAAACATGTCTTGGAACTGAAGAAATGGTTCAGTGTTTAAGAACACTGGCTGCTCTTCCAAACGCCTTGAGTTCAATTCCCAGCAAACACCCACATGATGGCTCCCAACCATCTATACTGGGATTTGATGCCCTCTTCTAGCATGCAGACACAGCACTCATATACATATAATAAGCAAATCTAAAAATAAGTAAACATGGATTCCATACATTTTGTGTTCTGCCCCCTCTGCTCTCTTACTTGCAGTCAATTCTCAGCCAATCCTCACACAGGCATGACTGTACAAGTGTGCCTTTTATTGCAGTTGGTAGAGTGCTTGTCTTGCATGCACTTGCGGAGGAAGAAAGCTTGCAGCAATCTCTCCTTTCACCATGTGGGTCTCAGAGATGGAACTTGGGTGTTAGGCTTGCTGGCAAATGCCCTTACCTACTAGTCCCCGAATTTCTTATTTAATAAATTAGAATGATAGAATTTTTTCTATTTTTTTAATTTAAATTAGAAACAACCTTATTTTACATGTCAATCCCAGTTCCCTCTCCCTCCCCTCCTCCCCTAACCCCCTTATTCCATCCCCTTTCTGCTCTCCAGGGAGGGTGAGGCCATTCATGGGGGATCTTCAAAGTGTGTCATATCATTTGAAGCAGGGCCTAGGCCCTCCCCCATGTGTCTAGGCTGAGAGAGTATCCCTCTATGTGGAATGGGCTCCCAAAGACCATTTGTATGCTAGGGATAAATACTGATCCACTACCAGAGGCCCCATAGATTGCTGAGGCCTCCTCACTCACACCCATGTTCATGGGGTCTGGATTAGTCCTATGCTGGTTTCCCAGCTATCAGTCTGGGGTCCATGAGCTCCCCCTTTTTCAGGTCAGCTGTTTCTGTGGGTTTCACCAGCCTGGTCTTGACCCCTTTGCTCATCACTCCTCCCTCTCTGCAACTGGATAGAATTTTATACATTTTTGAGGACAGATAGTTTATTGTCTGCCTTTAGGCATGACTACTGTCATGTAATCCCGGGTAGATGGGAATTCCCTATTTAAATAGATGTCATAAGTATTACATAGTTCATAGTTACTTGGTTTGTTGTTGATAGTCTCCAGTTGGAAATAATGTTTTAAAGTAATTAGCTCAATTTTGGTTCTTTTAAGCTTTGACTGACTCAGTGATCTTTTATTTTTGTGATGCCTCATAAATATCTGTGTGTTTTAACATGTCTAATTGTGGATAGGATTAAGTGGAGAGAAATTGAGATCACAAGATTTTTTTTTTTCCCCTTTCAAAGATGAATGTGCTTTGGCAGGTTGTATTTCAGCTCTACAGTTCACATGCTTAGGATGGACACCACATAGCAGGAAGCCTCAAGGAAGTGTAGACTGACTCTTGGAGCTACCATGTGAAAGTTAGTAAGAAATTTGGAAGTTTATCCAGATAAAGTTTCTTTGTGGTTTTTATTTATTTTTTTTAATTTTGATAAACCTTTATTTTCTTGACTGCATATTTTGTTTGTTTTTAAGTGAAAATGTACTCAGAGCATAGAAAATAGTATGTGCAGTGTATTGTCTAACTACAAAACAAAAACCCATGTAGCTGTCACCCAAGTCAAGAATGGAAGTATTTCCCATACTTTAAAAGCCCTGCATGTGGTGATTGTAATCACAAGTCATTTTCTCATGTGAGGACAGGATTCAGGTTTCACAATGGTATCACAGTGCCTACTCCTCATTCTGCTCATACTGTCATTCCCTCCGTTGTAGTGCTTTTCCTATATGACCTACTGCACATATTACCCTACCTAAAACAGGTCTCCAGAGGATCTAAACTGCTAAAAGTGTCATCATACAGCATTTCTATCTTATGAAATCCTGGAAGAGCAAACATAGATTTCTGCCTTTTTTTTTTTTTTTTTAAACCTGTACTTCAAAATAGTGTTTGGATACTAAAGTATGTATTAATATATGCTTTAAAAAAGGACTAAGCAGTCATGATTACATGAGATGAGGGCCAATAGTGTGTCCCTTATGCTATGTATGTTCTGACAAGGGTCCATGTGTCTGTGTCTGCATGTCTAAAACTAGATGGCTTATATTAAGGCCTTGCTTTAGATTTGCATTATAGATCCATATGTCAAACAACTTGATAGGAATTACTCAGTAAAATAATGTATGAAACATTTGAGTCAAAGCAGTATTTTATCTAAAGTATTTTCCCTTTTCATTCACAAATATCTATTATGGGGTAGATGATTAAAATTTACTTGAAGCATCTTGGGGCTGTCATACTGACTCAGTGAATACGCTTGCTTGTGGAGCCTTACGGCTTGAGTTGGATCCCTGGTACCCACATGGTGGATGGAGAGAACTGACTCCTGTAAGTTATTCTCTGACCTCTTCACACACTTCATGGTTCACTGCCCACCCAAATACATTTTTTTTTAAAAAAAAATTGAAGGATTTTATATTTCACTTAGAAACATTTATTTGGGTAATTATACTTATTAAACTTAGGTTTTAATTTAAGATAAAAATGCAAGTTGTTTTGAGATAATTTAGTCTTCTTTCTTTTTTTCCCTCTTTGAAGTTTCCTTTGTATATCTTCATAGGTCATCAGAAGACTGCGAGAAAGAGGAGAACCAATTAGACTATTTGGAGAAACGGATTATGATGCTTTCCAACGTTTAAGAAAAATAGAGATTCTTACACCAGAAGTTAACAAGGTGAGAAGGCAGAACAAAGCTAAAAACAGAATGGCACCATGTAAGCTAGAGGAGCATGGGATTGAACTGATAGAATCATTGTAGGGGAGTATGGGAAACTGTCAGCATAGGATGGTACTACATGAGCTGAAGCAGAGTGAGATTTGACAGCATGATTGTAGGCAAATAGGAGAAAACAGTGTCAACCTAGTGCTGCTGGAGTAACTATTTTTAAGGGGGTGTATCTTAAGCATAACATTCAATCTATTCTGACAAATACACATGAGCATGTAAGGGTAGAGAATATATCCATCACCCAATGCCTGTGTCACTTCTCTGCTCCCAGGAAGCTACCTTTCTGAATTAAGACACCATGAGTTAAGTTTTACTTCCTGTTTGGTATTTAACATTTTTAGTGTTTCATATGGATAGACCCAAGAGTGAATATCTAGTTTCTTTTGCTCAGCCTCACATTTTTTAAAGTGCTATCTATGCTGTTATGCATAGTTTCCTTTTTATTGCTCAGTTATATTTAGTTATGTGAATATACTACAGTTTTTTTCTGGTTTTGGGCTATTGTGAATAAATTGTGAATACTCATATGCAAAGATTCAAGGAGGAGGTATGTAGTCTCCCCACTCTCCGGTATAAATAGATTTTTCTCAGGGTAATAGCTACAAGTGGCATTGCTCAATGACAAGAGTAAATGCATGCTTTATAAGAAGTGCCAGGCATTTCTAAAGATCATCATATGGTTTTGTTAGACTTTTGAGTTTAAACCATCCCCTCATATGTGTAAGATCTCATGGTTTTATTCATGTCCCCGATGACTGACGATGAATATGCATCTTTTCCTACTTACCTTCCTTTGTACAGTGTCTGCATTGTGTCATTGCTGTGACAAAGCACCTAACATAAGCAGCTTAAGGTTAACTATTTTGGTGACACTTTCAAGGGATAGAGTTCATTTGGCCAGGAAGGCAGGAGGTCTTCAGTCACATTGCACAGACAGTCAGGAACAGAGGGATGTGTGCTGATGTTTGGCTCTTTTTTCTTCTTTGTTCCATCTGGGACCACAGGCCATGGGATGATACCACTCGTACTTAGTGTTGGTGTCCAGCCTCAGTTAACCCGGTCTAGATAATCATAGCTGTACCCAGAGGTTTGTTTCCATAAATTTCATCAGCAAGATTAACCATCACAGGTTTATTAGAGCCCCTTGTTCATTTTTTAATTGGATTGTTTGTCTTTTATTAATTAGGAGCTGCTTATATGTGCTGGATATAAGCTCTTTGTTAGGTATGCAGATAGAATTTTTGACTTACTTGTTCCTAGCTTGTGATTACTTACTGTTTTTAATGGAGTGTTGCTGAGCAGAAGTTTTAAATTTTGATGAGGTCCCAATTAACTGCTTTTTAATTTAATTTTTAAATTTTTCTTGTGGCTGTTGATTTTGTGTTCTGCTTGAGAATTTTTTTGCATATGCCAAGGACTTGAAGAGATATTTTGTGTTGTCTTGTAGAAGTAACAAGTACAGGTTTTATGTGGGAGGAATGTGGTTGTTCTTTGGTTGTTTGGTTATACACACGTCAGTTAGGGTCATGTTTGTTTAGATCTTCTGGGGCTTCATTAATGTTTTATCAACTTACTCTGTTAATTACTGAAAGGTATGGTGGTTTTCTATGGCTGTATAACAGACCTTCCCAAAGCTTGGTGCTGTGAAGCAATTTATTAATATCAAGTCTTTCTTGATTATTTGTGTCTTCAATGACATTAGACAAACTCAGTTCTGACATTTGATGGGGCTAAGCTAGGCAGTCCTTTGCCTAAGGTCCTCATGTAATTGCAATCAGATGGAAGTTATTGCTACTGTGAGGACTGCCCCCCCCCCCCCCCCCCCCCCCCCCCCCCCCGCGGGGCGCGCGGGGCGGCGCCGCGCGCACGCGCACAGGCACAGGCACAGGCACACACACACATACACAGCTCGGAGAAGTGGGATAACTGTGGGCTAGCTAGTGGTTTTGCTCCATGTGTTTTGTTTTCGAGTTTGTGTTTCCTGTCTGCTTCAGCATTGCATCTTAGCAATGCTAGTCCAGCCCTGTAGTACTAAGTTCCTGGGATATTTGTGCCCTTCTGTGTCTGAAATGATATGCTTGCCATCTCTCTCTAAAATGCCTCTGGAAGTGTCTCTGTTCTTCTAGACACAATGCAAAACTTTTTTTTTTTTTTTTTTTAACCTGTCCACAGTTCCCATCAGCATCAGTTGCTTCCTTCTCTCGGTTCCCATCGTATGGCTCTGCTGAGGGGCACTAAGTGTATTCACTAATGGCAGAGTTTTGAGCATATTTATCCCATGCTGGAGGTCAGGGGCTACTTTGCTTTTGTATTTGTGCTGAGGTCTCTTGTCAAGGTTCTGAGGAAAGTGCATAGGGATAAAGGTCTGGATTCAATTCCTGGAGCAGAATGATTAGTTGTGTGATCAATGGCAAGTCTTTTAATCAACTCTAATCCTGCTTATAAAATAGACAGTGGGACCTCCTGCTCACTGGGGTGTTTTGAGAATTAAATGAGGTAACTGTTTAGAACCTGGTCCTGGACATTACATAGAGCAAGTAGTTAATGTTTGCTAAATTAAAAGTATTAGCATTGAAGATTTCTCTGTGTTGATGAGAGAGTGGTAGGAAATGCCACCCTCTAGAAATATCTCTAGTATAACACCATTAAGAGTTTGACATCTGCCAGGTGCTTACTATGTTACAGTAATTGTTGAAAGTGCACTTTGCATTAACACATTGAAGGAACTTTATATTGTGCAAGGGCTTGGGAACAGTCCTAGCACCTAGTAAATGTTAAATAAAAAAGCAATAACTGCTTCTTGAATGAGTCTATGTAGTGGGTAGAATTATTCCTAGTTTATAAATGTGGCAGTTAAGGCATAGAAGTAAGCTGCGGAAGACCTCACACACGGCATAGGTCTGAACCAAATCACCTTTGCTCTCAACCACTACGGCATGGTGTCTTCCATTTTCACCTCACAGTCAGTGCTTAGGGAGCCTGCCCCTTTCTCTTTTTAATTAAATACGCAAGCCAGGAAATACATTGAGTGTGGAACTTGCTACTTTGGTAGAAACAGAGCCTGGCTTAAAAAGGCACCAGGTGTATTCTATTGACATAAAGGAGTTCAAGAGTAGTTGAGATGAGGTTAGATTTGTATGTGACATGGGGAAATGAATTGGGGACCTCTAATGAGACCCAGTCACTCTCTCTCTCTCTTTCTTCCTTCCTTTCTTCCTTCCTTTCTTTCTTTCTTTCTTCCTTTCTTCCCGCCTTCCTTCCTTTCTTCCTTCCTTCCTTTTTTTTTTGAAAATAATATATATTTTAAATGATAAAAAATCCTTGTTTCTGTTGATACAGTAATATAATTTATATTTCTTTTAAAAAAAAACCAATAAGAACATATCCTATGTTAATATCTCTAATTCTCAAAATAGTAAGCAGGTAACCGTGCATATTTCTATATATACTTCACTATAAACATGTAATAAGCATCATTATAAAATGTCATCTTTACCAACAACCCAAGCAAAATATTAGAAAAAAATGCAATGTGATAGTTGAGTGAAATTGTTAAATTTCCTGCATGCACTTACAAGATAATGAAACATAGTACTACCACTTATGAAATAAAACTAAACAACTAGCAAGGTGTATCTTACTTGAAGTACTAATGGTGTACTGTTTTCTGTTCCTCTTGTTTAAGCTTCTCCTCCACCAAACTGTAAAGCACATTTGCACTTGCTCTGAATTATAGTATTCTTCTATAATGTCTAGGGGTCCAAGGTCCAAAAATTAATACATAAATTAAAATAAAAAATATGATTTATTATCCATTAACTCTAGCAAACTTTCCATCCTGTATTATGTGAAAAATGTTTGCTAAGTTAATAGATTAAGATTAACATTCTTCAAAATTCTGGCTACATTATAATAATTCAAAAAATCCATTTGCTTATTTACTCTTGTATATTATAAGATTTTCTTGATTGGCCCATCCAGCAATTTGGAAAGGTAGGGATTGAACAGGTATAAAAAGCATTTGATATTTGTTTGACTTTTGGACACAGCATCCAATTAATGCCATCTTTACAGAAGATTGGGGAATGAATCAAAGGAAAGAACTAAATGCCCAATGACATTTCATTTCAAGTATTTGTTTATGAATTTGCTTTTCTGTTCACCTGTGAATTTTTATGTGAAAATCTACCATTAACACAGAACATGTACACAGTGAAACAGATCTGTTCTTACCTTGTCTTAGACTGAAGATGATTCTTGTACAGTATAAAAATCAAATATTTAAAACATTTGTGGAACAAAAGTAGAAAATAATTTTAAAATATCATGATAAAAACTGTCTTTTCCTTATATTAAGAAACATACCATCTGTGCATCATTTGAACAATAAAATCTCTAAAAATATGAGACCGAATCAATAAATTTTCTTATAATATCCATTATAAGGTTGCAGAAAGCAAATTACAAAAATTTTCAAATAAATACTGCACAGTAATACAAGCATAACATTGTTCTAAAACTGCTTCAAGTAAACTACCATCATTCTTTAAAACAAATCCTTTAGAGAATGAGTTGACGCAGAGGACCTTAGCTTGGTGTCCTTGTGGGCTTCCCAACAGTGAGAGCGGGTGGATCTCTGACTTTTTTGCCCGCTCCTAGGAGTCTTTTCCTTCCCTTGGGCCCCCTTATATAGCCTTGACATGAGGGTCTTTGCCCTATCTCATTGCATCCTGCCCTGTCCGTTTGTCTGTCTTCTGAGGGCCTACTCTCCTCCATAGAGGAAATACAGGGGGAGTAGTCATGAGAGAGAGGGGCAGTGGCCGGAGACTGGTCGGAGACTTCTCACTTTCACTGAGGTTGGTTATTAGAATCACATAATGGCATTGATGATGCAGATTTTTAGGAGGGGAGGGGAATGTTTGGGAGGGATAGTTGACACAAGTTCTCATGTAGCCCAGGCTGGCCTCAGACTGAATCATCTGGTCCTCTTGCCTCTACCTCTCAAGTATTGGGACTACAGATGTGTAGTCCATGACCAGTCTCCAGGGTGCTGGGGAGCTTTGTGCATGCTGGGCAAACACTCTGTTAACTGAGCTGCATCCCAGCCTGGAAATGTACTTGATATAAAAAAAGATCACACATCATACCCCAGCGAGGTTTCCTAACTGGTGCACTTCTTGTCACTTTCCTAGGGCTTAAGGAATGATCTGAAAGCAGCTTTGGACAAGATTGACCAGCAGTACTTGAATGAAATTGTGGGTGGTCAGGAACCTGGAGAGGAGGACACACAGAATGACTTGAAAGTTCACGAAGAAAACACCACCATTGAAGAATTAGAGGTAATCTCTACCCCAACCCTGCCCATTCCCCAGCATCCCTTCCTCCTCAGGAGCAGTGTTCCTGTGCAGTCCTTTGCTGTTGAAGGCACTTCTTAGTTTTAGGTCTTTGTTTTTTCTCACTCACTCACATTTCTGAATTTCTTACTTTCAAAAGTAAGCATTGTAATGTTTGATGTGCATCCTTTTATTTGCTGTGATGTTCTAGTAAAGATTGCAATTTTTATGTGCATGTAAAATAATAGTGTATCGTGGTCATCTTTATTTTACCCCCTCTTCCATTTCATACTGTTAAGATCCACATTTGATTTTTTTTTTCCGCATTGTTTGTCTATTATGGCATTCTTGTATTTTACTTTTAGTTTCCTTGTTATAGTGGATAGCTTGGCTGCTCTCAGCTCCTCCTTAGCCACAGACATGGACTGAAACAGAATTGTGGAGCTTATACATAGACATTTAATTTGTCTGAGCACTGCCAAGCTGCTCTCTGGAATGGCTGTCCCAGTGTATAACCCTACCAGCAGCATATGAGGGGCTTGTGTCCTTTCATTCCTGCCAGTTCTTGACACTATGTAGCCACCTGATTCTGTCACTGTGTTGCATGTGGAATGATATGTGTAATCTTTATGAAGAAACAATATTGTATCATGTTAGTGTCTAGCATGTAGCAAATAGCTTTTTTGTTTATTTAATGTTGACTACAACATAAGCTGTTATTTCTGTTTTCTTTAGTTTCTGGCTCCTGAAGGAACATGTAGTGATCTCATTAGAGATCATGGTCCAGAAGGTTGTCGTTTTACTGTCCTCCCCCTCCTATCACTTGTTTAAGGTGGTTTGTAACTTCTCCCTAAAGAACTGGAGTGAGCAATCACTTGTCAGTCAGGCTTGTTTCGTCTCTCCTTTTCCTTTTCTCTTCCTTCCCTATTTCTTTTTAATAGTCCTAAGATATTTGCACCCTATACAATTTACCCAAATAAACTATACAATTGAGTGGCTTATAATATACATCCACAGGGTGTTGTCACCACCAGCATGATGTTAGGCCATTTTTACCTACCCAAGAGAAATGCCCAGATCTGTTAACAGTCACTGATATTTTATATGAAATTTACAAAATTGGGGCTGACAGGCTGGCTCAGCTGTTAGGAACACCATGTACTGCTCTTGCAAGTTTGGTTCCCAGCACCCATGTTGAGCTCTGGGCTCTGCTAATAGCTGCACTCTCTTGCACATATCCAAACACAGGTATATAGCTAAAATAATAAAAGCCTTTACGATATTTTAGAATTATTATTGTGGATATATATGGTGTGCTCATGTTTGGCGGGGGACATCTACTGCACATGTGTGGAGCTCAGAGACAACTTTGTGGACTTGATTCCCTCTATCCACCTTTACTTGGGTTCTGAGAATTAACTCAGGTTGTCAGGCTTGCATTTTGGGTTCTGAGAATTAATTCAGGTTGTCAGCAATTGCCTTTACCTACTGAGCCTTCTTGCTGACTGTTTACCCATCCAAGTACTAACCAGGCCCGACCCTGCTTAGCTTCCAAGATCAGACAAGATTGGGTGCTTTCAGGGTGGTATGCCGTAGACTTGCTGACTCTTCTTATCTTTCAATTCTTATTGGATAACAGTCTCCAAATAGAAATATGCGGTCAGGTAGGGTGTGTGTGTGTGTGTGTGTGTGTGTGTGTGTGTGTGTGTCTTGTCTAAAAGTCAACAAATTTTAAAATTAAAAATAGGCCAATATGTGTGATAAACCTCTTTCAACCTATTGTTGGTCATACACACACTCTCATATACTTTTTAAAAATTGCTCTGTGTTAGTGAACAGAAGTATTGTTCTTTCTCTTCAGGCACTGGGAGAGTCCTTAGGGAAAGGTGACGATCATAAGGACATGGACATCATCACGAAGTTCCTGAAGGTGTGTACTTAGGGAAGGGAAGGAAGGAGAGCGTGTGGACATGTAAGAAGCAGTCTTATAAATAAGGATGTATTTTGGGGCAGGGTAATGGTCAAACATCTATACTTGTTCTGCATGTACCTGGCACTAATGGGCTGTACCACTGGAGCCCCTCTCACTGTCCATGCAGCCGTTAATGAATGTTTATTTTCTTTATGGCACTTTTCTTAAAAGCTGTAAAATGACTACAGCAGTAGAGTGAACACAAAGTTTGAAGAAGTCTCCTGTTCTCCATAAATACCCTAGAAAGAAGTGCGGTGGAGGCGGCGATCCAGAGCTGTTACGGGAGGGTGGTGGAAGGCATTGGCAGTGCAGAAGTAAACAAATTTAACTTTTCGGCAAGGTCCGTTTCTTGAGTATATTTGCTTATTTTTGCTGATTTACTAGTTCTGTATTTGCCCTCGGGATTTCTTTTTAGTTATCTAGGTAGAGTGTGGTCGGATCCTAAATTTATTTAAATATTTGTCTGCATACCAGGAGATTCAATGGAAGAGTGCTTTTATTTGTATTTACATTTTATTTTTATTTAGTTTGTTATTAAAGTATTATAGTTTTTTTTCATGACAGGGTTTCTGTGTGTGATCCTGGCTGTTCTGGAACTTGTTCTGTAGATCAGGCTGGCCTAGAACTTAAGGTGATCCTCCTGTCTCTGCCTCCCAAGTGGGGTAAAAGGTGTGCACCATCACTACCCAGCTAATGTTTTGACTGTAACATTCCAGTTGTCAAGGTTCTAGAGTATATTTAGAATACAGTGTAGTGCTAGACAGTGTAGGCAGCAGCGTGGAGCTTTCCTCTTTAATGGGTCTCTCCTCGTGTCAGAGCATGTCACCTTTACTGTCACCTGCCTCTGGAAAGAGAATATAGCTAAACCCAAGGGGCCCTGGGGTAGTTTTCCAGGGTGAGAAGTATGGGTCATGGTTTTATTTTTGTTCCTTTTTTTTTTTCTTCCTTCACCATTCATTGGGTGTGTTTGTGGGACTTTTTAAATTGAATTTTCTGTTCTGTATAGGTAGAAAGTCCAAATAATATATAATGTACTTCAAACATTGATCAAATATCAAAGTGTATATAGTTTAGATCCATGGTTCTCAACCTTCCTAGTGCTGCCACCTCTTGAATTGTGGTGACCCCCAACTGTAAAACTATTTTTGTTGCTACTTCATAACTTTAATCTTGCTACTATTATGAACCATAAATGTCTAATAAGCAAGATATCTAATAAGCAAGATATCTAATATGTGACCACTGTGAAAGGGTCATTCAATCCCCCCCCCCAAAGGGGTTGAGACCCACAGATTGAGAAACGCTGGTATAGATAAATCTGGATTAGTTGAACTATGTGTAATGGATACAAGTAAAAATACAGTGAAAGTTTATTTCAGTCCAGTCATGAAGGAATTTGATAGCTCTTTTTTGAGAAAATGGACCAACCTTACAATGTAGTAGTACATGAACTGGGGTGCTTTTTACTTTGAAACATATGACACACAAACAGAACTTGTTTGTTAATTAAATCTTCCTCGATGACAGTTTAATCAACAGGACAATGTTGTAAGGATGATCATAAACCATGGCTTTTAGGGAGCTTTCCCACCCAAACCACTGGGTGGCATTGCAGCCTTAACTCTCTCTGTCAACAGTTTCTTCTTGGCGTTTGGGCTAAAGAATTGAATGCCAGGGAGGATTATGTGAAACGCAGCGTGCAGGGCAAACTGAACAGTGCTACCCAGAAGCAGACCGAGTCCTACCTCAGACCGCTTTTCAGAAAGCTCCGGAAAAGGGTGAGGTTTCTGGAAAATACTTTATTAACACACATTTGTTGTTATTGTTTTTAATTAGTGTAAGTAGTTTTCATTACATGACTTAGCTTCCAAAACTAGTTATGTTTTTCTTTTTCAGAATCTTCCTGCTGATATTAAAGAGTCGATAACAGATATTATTAAGTTCATGTTACAGAGAGAGTATGTGAAGGTAAGTTATTATGCTATGTGTTATTGTGACCATTATCTAAGTTATGTTTATAACATAATGGTTATTTGGAATGGGAAGGATTGTACTTAGTACATTTAAGAATGACTGTAAAGCAAGCGAGTAGGAAAAAAATCTTTCTGTTCTCTTGGCATTGAGTAACAAGCCTTAAACCACAATTGTATTTTCCTAGTCATTGTAAAATTGGGTTAAAAGTTTGTTCAGAGCATGTGCTACATATATAAAGGCAGTGTTCATTTTATGGATGGGATTGAATTGTAGAGTAGATAAATAGTTGATTATGGCATGGGGTTCATCCTCCCGTAGGAACAAGGTTCTTCAGACTGCTACAGAAGCCCACTTAATCTGTAATATAGCTCAACTATTGAACTGCTGATTCAGTGGAATTTACCTACACTTTGTGGTTGTTTCTGTGGGAAAATGGGGCATGGAAGGCTGCCAGGTCTCATCTCAACCTTTACTATAGTAATGGCAGAGCACTTGCTGGGGAGGCTGTTGTTACTCACTCCAGTGTCTTTACTCTTGAATGGGTTCTCCATGACTACTGAGGAGAGTTTGGAAGGTGGCATTGGAGGGCAATCAGCTGATAGAAGGGAGAGAAGGATACTGATGATACAACAGTGAGGAGAGACTTCTAATGGCTAGCCTCTCAAGAAGCCTAGAGTGGAGATTTCTCTGAATCTCAGTGGAATGCTAGAGCACTAGAAAAGGGGAGAAAGGACTGCTGGCATTCCCAGGTGACTGCTGCTTTACTTGATTAGAGCATTGGTTAATGAAGTGATTTTATTTTTATTAAAACCAGTGTTCAGTGAAAATATTTTAGTTCTTAGAGAGTTTCATACATGTTTTGATCATATTCCATTCGCCCAGTTCCATGATTTTTAATAAGGACAACTATAGTGTACTCTAATTGTACTCTAATAAAGTTTGCCCAAAGATCAGAGGGCGGAGCTAGCCACTAGTGAAACATAGAGGTCTGGAGGTTTATGCAGACAGGAAGTGATATGGCTGGACAGAGAGAGAAAGTGATAAGGCAGGAGAAGACAGGTGCTCAGTCTCTTTCAGCTGGGAAGTTAGCGAGGTAAGGTGTGGCTGTGGACAAACAAGATACCACTATAGACAGCTGATTGCATGGTAATGCATGGCCAACACCCCATCATGGCTGAAAGCATTGTAATCACTGCTTGCCCTGGTGGATACCTATTTTATTCTCATGATGTATGTATTCTCATGGTGAGAACTTGTTTTGTATAAATGACACAAAGAACCAGTAAATTTGAATAATGTGCTGGAAAATTCTCTTTGGAATTTTAGAGAAGCTGAAGTTTTATTGGTTAAAGTCTTGTATTGAAGTTACACATGAGAGCTGGTGATTGAAAACACGCAGAATTCCCCTTAAAATTAAACTCTGTAAAATGTGTTGTAGAGCAAGTTGATTCTATTTCTAGGGTGGTCACCAATCTTTCAGTTAACTGTAGTGCTGTGTGTTTTTACCCACTGCACACATCATACAGTTAAGAGTTTTGAAGTTAGAATCTCTGTGAAGTTTGCTTGAAGTCCTTGGGGATCTTTTAGAAGTTTCTTGCTCTTTGTTCTATTTCTTCCTCCTTTCTCACAGCTAGCCAGACCAGACTGTAAAATCAAATCATTTGTATTTACTGGTTTCTGTATTGACTTTTCAGAGCTTTTATTTTAAGTCTCTTGGCAGGTGGGAGACTTGGGGGTGGGCTGCGTCAAAGGAAGAGCGCTTCACATGCTTCAGCTCTGTGGTTTGTAAGCCAGTGTCCTGTCTGTTTATCCATCTATTGTGGACTGTAGGTGGTTTTCCAAGCAGATAGAGCACACCCCCTACCCTGTCCACTATACACTGCTTCCGGAGCTCTATAGTGCTGTGTGATTGAAGGTTGGATGGTGAAAGGCTAGCTAGCTTCTGTCTACCTTCCAGCCACATGTGGTGAAGACTGGCTTGAAAAATAGTTTCTGTTAGCATGTCAAGTCTGAAATGCTGCTTTCCAGTGCACAAAGGCTAGAAAGGGTTGCTTGTCTTTTTTACATGCTTAGCATTGGCTTCTGTTTTCACAGGCATTTGTATTTCTGGGCAGAGTAGTAAGTCACCCCATACTTCAATGTCTTGATTGAGCAATGGAACACAATATTTTCATGAAGAGGTAGATAAAAAGTATGTCAGGAAGTGCTATGCAAACTTGAAATAAACATTTGAACCAGTGTTTTGCCTTTCTGATTTCTTAAACTTTCCTTTCAGGCAAATGATGCATACCTTCAGATGGCCATTGGAAACGCTCCCTGGCCTATTGGTGTCACTATGGTTGGAATCCATGCGAGAACTGGCAGGGAAAAGATTTTTTCCAAGCATGTTGCACATGTTTTAAATGATGAAACCCAGCGGAAATACATTCAGGTAAGCAGCTTTAAGGGACAAGATTTGCTCTAACAATCTTTTTTTCTATATGTGTGTGTGTGTGTGTGTGTGTGTGTGTGTGTGTGTGTGTGTGTGTGTGTGTGTGTGTGTGTGTGTGTGTGTTCATGTGGACATGCACATGCCTTGGCATGCATATAGAGGTCAGAGGATGACTTTGCAGAGTTAGTTCTCTCCTACATTCATGTGGGTTCTGAGAACGGAACTCAGGTCATCAGCACACAGTTGGCTTTTACCAAACCATCTTGATGGCCCTGCTCTAACCTTAATTCTCCAAACTAAATCTAAAATATAAGAAAAGGATTATGCTAGTTTGCTTATCTTTGGGGAGTGCATCCAACAAACTCCAGTTGATACCTGAAACATCGGGTAATACTGAACCCTCTACATCCTACTCCACAGCCCAGATACATATTTAACTATGATAAAATTTAGTTAGGCTGAATAAGAAATTAACTACACAAGTCAGAATTGGTGACATACATCTGTAATCCCAGGACTCAGTAGGTATAGTTAGGAGAACCTTGTTCTGAGCCAGCTTGGAAAAAACGGAGGGCGATCATGTCTCAGATAAACATAAAAGACAAGAGGAGGTAGGGGAGATTGTTTATAATTGGAGGAGAAGCAGAAGCAGGAGGTTGTTAATAACTGATTATAAAAGAGAACAGTTGTAACAATATTCTGTAATGAAAGTTATGGGAATGTGGCTTCCCTGGAAACAGTGTGGTACTCTGACCACTGTGATAACATGAGGCACAATTTTTGCATAAGAAGATGAAGTGAAGTTGGTTATGTAGGCGATGCCATGGTGAGTAGATGGTAGAAGCTACTGTTGATCTTCTCCTGATCCTATGAAAGAAGCCATGATGATAACCATTGACTAAAGGTAACTGCAAGTGTGGCGACTGAAACCCCACAGAAGGGAAGGGTGCACAGTGAGTAGGGCGTAGCACAGGAGTGTACAGGAAAGTCCAGAGCTGATGAGCACTTGCACTTATCAGTAAAGGACACCAATGACTTCATACATGATGGAAAGGAAGGAAATCATTATGCTTTTAATTTTCTTAACACTAAAACAAAACTGTTGGAGTTTGCTTTGTTTTGAGACAGGGGCTGGCTTCCTGGGTAGTCCAGGCTAGCCTCAAACTCACTGCCTCTGTCTCCTGAGTGTTGGAGCTGTTGATACAAACCATATCCAGCGCAATTTTTTTTTTTAAGTACATCAAGTGAGTTTTTAAGAGAAAACTGGGGGTTTAGTGAAGACAGACAATTTAGAGTGTTTTATAATAATGTTATTTGCAATGTGGATGTAATATATGCTAACCTAAGAAGGTATGGGAAGTGATGTCTTGGCTTCAGTGTATATAATTGCTTTTAAGTAGCATATGAAAATATTTTTCTAATTATCTGACTAAGTCTGAAGTATTTATAATTATTTTCTTGAAGTTGTATATGCCTCATACAAACTTGTTTGTACTGGGCTAAACTTTTCTGAAAACTTTATGTGAGTAAAAAACAAAATCAACTATAATCTAGCTTTGGCAAACTGTCACAAATCCCAGATTGTGTGAAACGACTTGCCGGGTGTCAGTTCTTAAATGTGAAGAAGAGCTTCGGAAGTTGACTTAAATTTGCTTAAAAGCATAAAGTGAACTCAGATGCTGTGCCAGAGAATAGTCATTACCATATTCAAGAATTATCTTTGTTTGTATTTTAGTTTCAAGTGCTGAATGTTAATTTGTGTGGCATACTTTATACCTTATTCACATACATTAGCATTTGAAAACATTTCAACCTGACTTCCTAATGTGAATTGTGCAGTTTATAGAGTTTAAATACACTTGGGTTCAATTCAAAGACATTTCTATCTATTTTTAAAGTTTTAGAATTACATTACGTTTTTATTGTGTGTGTATGTGGGGTGGGTGGCATGTGCATGCCAGGGTGTTCATGTAAAGGTCAGAGTATTAGTTCTCTCCTTCTGCCTTTGTGTGGGCTCCAGGGATCTAATTCAGGTCATTAGGCTTGGCTACAATTGTTCTTGCCTGCTGAACATCTCACTGGCCCCATTTTCATTTCTTAATAACCACAGATTACTATAGAAAAGGCAAAAGCTTTGAGTTAGAAAAGAGTGGGTTTTTTCTTTGGCAATTGAATATAATTTCCAAGGATTAAATTTGCTAATCATGCTCATTTGTACTGTGGCTACATTATAATGCTTAAAAGCTCATACAATTATATAATTTTAAAGACAACATTTCTTGTAAACAATGGTATGGTTTCTACTTCCTCCTAGATTCATTTTCATTATATAAAGAAAAACCATATCTATGGTTATCTATCTATCTATCTATCTATCATTTGTTTAAGAGGATTTCTAGTTTATTTTGGAGCTATGCAATGGCCTATCCTTCCTCCAGTCTTCCTTTGTAACAATATTCTTTGATTCTTGTATTGTTTAAGATACTTTCTTTGGGTGAATTTTTAGGTTTGTTACGGCATTTAAATAAAACTACTGTATAGATACGATTTAAAAGGGGGCTAGGGGCTGGAGAGATTGCTCAGCGGTTAAAAACTCTGGCTGCTCTTCCAAAGGTCTTGATTCTAATTCCCAGGAACCACATGGTGGCTCACTACCATCTATAATGGGATCTGATGTCCTCCCCTGGCATGCAAGCATACATGCAGATAGAGTGTTCATGCATAAAAAAGTATATAAATAAATAAAAATTTAAAACTATTATAATTTGATGTTTTAAAAGATATCTAAAAAATTTGTGTGTGCATGAATGCCTGTGTGAGGGGGTGTTCATACACGTGGAGGATATATGTGGAAGGTACGTGTGCCTGGATGTGCATTGTGTGTGAAGGCCAGAGTTAACCTCAGATAATTATTTCTCAGGACAGCTATCTGCACCCTTTCTTTTAACAAGGAAGTATTTTTATGTTATATGTATGAATATTTTGCCCACATATGAGTATGTGTACCACATGTGTTCCTTATACCCATGGAGGCCAGAGGAGGGTGTTTGATCCCCTGGAACTGAAGTTCCAGACATTTGTGAGCCACTCTGGGTTCTGGGAACCTAACCTCAGTCCTCTGCTAGAGTAACAAGTGCTCCTAACCACTGAACAATCTAGTCCCATCCGCCCAGCCCCTAACTGTTAGTTGGTGTGTTTTTATTGAAAAAGGTTCTCCCATGTGGTCCCTGACTAGGCTGGGTTAGCTGGCCAGCAGCAAGTCCCAGGGGTCCTCCTGTGCCCACCTCCCAGTGCTGGTGTTACAGATGCAAACCACCATGCCTAGCTTTTCACATGAGTTGTAGGGATTAAACTTAGTGTCTCATGCTTGGGCAGCAAGCACCTCAGAGTGATCTATAAATGCTTTCTTGTTGAAGTTTCCCTTTCAGCCAGGTTTAATGACATATGCCAATAATTGCATCACTTGGAAGGCTACAGAGGACTGTGAGTTTTGAGATGAGTCAGAACTGCATCCTGAGTTTAAGTCTAGCCTGGGCTAAACAGTGAGACCCTGATTCAAAAATCAGAATTTTTCTCTTCCCTGTTTGTTAGGTGGTTAGGGAAAGTTGGTGAGTGTACCGTCTGACATTTAGGTCAACTAATGCTTCTGTGAATAGGACACAGTGTTTTGGATTTAGCCTGTTGTTGAGGGAAGCTTCGGATACTAAATAATGGGCATGTCTCTCCTTGGGCAGAGGTTAGTGACACAGGTCAGAGAGTGACTTTAGTATTTACCTCATGGACTTGGATGATGTGTTAGTCAAACCTGTTGTCACTGTGACTGACACGTAAGTAACAATCTGAAGAAGGGAGGATTATTTGGCTCATAGTTTCAAAGGCTTTACAGCAGTGGTTCTCAGCCTTCCTAATGCTACAACCCTCAAAGTATTTTCATTGCTGCTTCAAAACTGTAATTTTGCTACTGTTATGAATAGTAGTGTAAATTTTTTTTGGCGATAGAGATTTGCCAAAGGGGTTGAAACACAGGTTGAAAACCACTGCTTTAGAAAGTGAGGAGGGAATGCCTGTGTTAGCTAGCCGGCTTCTTCTTTCTTATCTTTTGTCCCCCTGGCTTAGACCCTTTAGGACAGTCCTACATATAGTCCAAGAGGCTCTTTCTTAGTTTCCTCTGGGAACTCCTGTGCATATCATCATGTGTTATTAGCACCACCAAAGACAACCTGAGAGGCACCAAAACGTGTGCATGTCGCATCCAGTGATGAAAACAAAGCGCTTTTGCTTGGATTAATTTGACCAAGAGCAAGCCCAAATTTGAATTCTCCACTCTGCTCCCTGTATCTTCTGGCTGGCTGTAGTTTCTGGTTGCTGGCGCATATGTAGTCTGTTTTGTGAATATGATCTATCTCTGTTGCTGTGTGTTGTGCCTCTGAATCTACGCTTCTCTCTAACAAAGGGCTTGGGTAGCACAGAAAATAAGGCTGGGAAAGTATTGAGATTCTTTATATTATCTCTAACAGAGTTTGCCAGGGGAGAAGCCACTTTACTGACCCCAGCTGACCCTGAATAGCACTCAACACCACAGACAGGCATTACCAATCTCTATCCACAATTTTTCAACATTGATGGTGGATATTTGTTTTATGGTTCTTTCCCTCCTGTTAGCTCATTTCAGCAAATGATCACCGCTGTGTGTGTGTGTGTGTGTGTGTGTGTGTGCGCGCGCGCGCGCCCCTGCCTGCACGTCCCCCCCACCCCAGGTCAGGGAAAAAGCTGAATGCATGGGAAATCCAAGGTACAGTAAGCTTGCTTATAGTGTTCTCTTAAAGGCAGATTAAATAGGCTGTTACACAGTAGGACAGCAGGTTGAGTGCATAGCGTTGTTTTAGCTACATATAATGTCCTTTTGTTACTTTGGTCTTTTGGTGAGGTTGATTTGAAATATCCTCTGAAAGGATCATTTTCAACATGTTGCCTGAAGTTCAAATCAGGGGTTGTCAAAC